CCTCAGCTAGAGGGAATACAGATCAGTCTTAACTCATTGGTGTGAGCAGTGATGGATCATTGCATTATTCTTGATTTCTTGCTTCCTGTACATGGTGGTGTCTGTGCTATTGCTAATACTCCTTGCTGTACTTGGGGTGGCTCCAATTGCACCTTCATGGTTAAGTGACCTTAAACGCATTAATGCATGACTTGTTAGTTCCTCTTATCCCAGAAAAAGAACCAATTATTCAAATCTATTAATCAAATCCCAGGTAATTCTAAGTTAGAATTTAACACCATTTGAAGGTGGATGACTAAATAAATTTCACCTGGGGAAAAAAAAAGTTACTAGCTATCTAAACATTTAATCCAGCTAATGCAAGGCCTTGGCTATGACTTTGTTTCATGAACATCTTTTCTCTTGGCTCTTTATGTGCCCCTATAGGCTATTACTCCCTTTGCAACCAGAACCATGTGAGGTTGCCTTTTTTTTTTTTTTGCCTCAAACTAACACTTCATTACTTTAATAATATGCCAAGACTTACCTACACACAGTGACTCTAGTTCTATAAAATAACAAGAATGGAAATTCTGAATCTGATGCTGAAGGTGGTCATTTTTCATTATTCAAGTTCTCCAGGGAAATTACTGACTCATTGACTATGTGAAAATCCAAACAACCTTTTCAATGGTGGGAATCACACACATAGAAAGAGACTGTAAGAAATTTATCATCGACTTTGGGAGGAATTTTTAATGATACCCCCTCAGCTAGAGGGAATACAGATCAGTCTTAACTCATTGGTGTGAGCAGTGATGGATCATTGCATTATTCTTGATTTCTTGCTTCCTGTACATGGTGGTGTCTGTGCTATTGCTAATACTCCTTGCTGTACTTGGATCAATGTTAATGAAGTAGAGCTATGAAACACCTAAAAGAAAAAATAAAAAGCTAACTGGCTCTCCAGGGTTGATCCTCATGGGCTATGGGACTTGTTCTCTTGGTCCCTGTTGAGCAATTGGAGTTCCTGGTTTTGAAGACTCTTATAAGGACTATTAATTATTATTGTTTATGCTATAGTGGTTATGATGTAGTTCATTGCATTCTATCTAACATCTTAAATGCTTTTGTGTAGTTGTTCTCTCACCAGATAATCATGGTCATATCACAACAAAAAAGGTCAAGAAAATCTTGCAAAGCAGTTGCTCATTGAGATACCTAAAGAATCCCAACTGATGAAGATATGGATCTCTAACCTTCTCTGAATTGGTCAGATTGGTGAAAGTAAGAGAATAAGCAAAAGAAGGAACTAAGAAACTAAGTACTGAACTAAACAATGACCAGACCACATGACAATAGAACTTGACTTACAATCTCTGCAGCAAGTATCCCAGAATGTTCAGGACTTTGCCATGACTTCTAGCTTCTCGATATTTTTGCCCCTTCCTTATATTTTTACCCAGAACCAACCAGGGTTTCATTTGATTTATATCCCAGTTTAAAAATCAGATATATGAAAGTATGATTCTTCTCAAAGTAGTACTAAAGATGGGTCTTCCAGATGTATAAAAAAAATCAAGGTAGTAAAATATATATATTATTGTGAAAATACATGAAAGCTACTCAAGGGAAAATGTAAACAGAGGTCATTTATTCAGAGCTGAGGATTCAACCACCATCACTTTCATTTGCCAGTGACTTCAAAACAAGCAGAGTCATGGGAAAGATTTACAAAAGAATAAAGGAAGCCTTCAAGAATAGATGTTGGCATGGGAAAGCTGGAGGTGGACTTACCAAAAACAAGACATCTTACGGTGTGAAGAACATCTTGGAATCATATTTGGAGTAACCAGAGAAAGCCAAATAAATAGCTTTCTTCAGATGTAATTGACATACAACAAACATAACATATTTAAAGTATATAATTTAGGAAGTTTTCACACACATACACCCACCCATCCACACAATAACCTGTGTTATATAAACACATGCCCATGAAACCATCACCACAATCAAGATTATACATATTCATCACCCTCCAAAAGTTTCCTCCTTCTTTAAATCTATCTTTTCTATCCCATTCTGTTTCCTTTCCATTTCCAAGCAACCACTTACCTGCTGTCAATCAACATTAGTTTTTCTTTTATTATTTATTTTTTAATTGCTAGAGGGCTTGTGTACTCTTCAGAGAGAGACAGAGAGAGAGAGAAAGCACCCCCCTCACACAATGTAGTGTAGTCACACTGCAATCCCTTCCCCTCTATTTCTCCTAACAGGATTTGGGGTATACATGCACATGTACATGCACTTGGTATGTTTTTCAAATCACTAGAGCCAGAACTTGTCCTGCTCAGTTGGCCATGCAGAATCTGGTTCCCTTAACCATTAGGCAATGAATCCTGCCCTAGTTTTTCTTCTTTCAATATATTTAAGCTGTTATTCTACTGTCTTCTTGCTTGCTTTATTTTATTTTTTTAAAGAATTATTTTATTCTATTTTATTTATTCGTTCATTTATTTTTTAATTTGACCAGAGGGAGACAGAGAAAGAGAGAGAGAGAGAAAGTGAGAAAGCAAGCCACCAGGTCCAGGACTTGAACCATGGTCAGCCATGTGAGAGTGTCCAGCACCTTAACCACCACACCACTTGCTGGTCCCGCTTGCTTTATTTTTAATGAGAAACTGATGTTATCTTTATTTTCATTCTTCTAAACATAACATGTCCTTTTCCTTCATTTTAAAGATTTTTTTCTCTTATTAATCATTCTGAGCAATTTGATTATTATCTTCCTTGATGTAGTTTTCTACATGCTTCTTGTGCTCAGGTTTCGTTGAGCTTCTGAAGACAGGTCTGTGGGTATAGACGCTAACTGGAGGATCAAAGTAGTGGAGGGAGCTTATGAATGCTACTTTCTGATTAATTCAGTGTTATCAGTGAAGTAGGAAGCAAGGCCATTGGCTGAGGTCAAGAACAGGAGGAGAGATGTTGGGTACGAAACAAGGTATAAAACTGTCATTGAGGAGGGTAAGAGAATCAGTGAAGTAGTATTATAAGATGTTCAAGAATCCATAAGGGCCCACTTAAAATTAGTGCTCATGAATTTAAAGTCAGCATGCTTGGAGTTTTTCTTCTACTAGCTTTAATTGTAAAGGTTCAAGCACTTAGTAAGTGGAAAATTGGTTGTCCAATATTGAAATTTTGTCAAGTAATTATGTTACTAATTTTTAATTTACTCCCAAAGATGACATCTTTTGTCATTTAGTGTTATGGAGCTAACTTATGAAACGGAAGCTGAGTTTCACGGCACAAGGTTTATTCAATGGTCAAGGAGAGGAGAAGCAGGAGAGGAACTCCCAAATCAATCCTTCACTTGTCTTGAGCTGGGAACTTTAAGATATAGCAGGGTGGTAATGAGGGGAAGGGATAGGTCTAGAGAGAGGAGAAATAGCCAGTTTTTTCTTGTAAAAGGCAGGGGCATCTTAGAATTTCAAAATCCATCTCCTTTTTCCTCCTCTTAAAGGTGTTTCCAGGAAAATTGTGAGCTGTCATGGCGCTGGCAAGTATGTCATTTAACATGTTAATGACATTATGATGAGGTTTGAGGTCTTCCAGAGGACTTTAAGTTGGCCATCTTGCATCCCACTGGTTCAGCCTGGTTCTTAGAGGGAGAGCTGTTATCTTATCCACAGACATGCATGCTGCTACTTAAAAGAAAAACACCAGTTAGGGAGGGACTGGGTTATGGTATCAGCACGGGTGATATTATGGGTGGCAATTGTAGCAACTTAGAGGTGGGAAGGGAGTTGAGAATGTATGCAAGGGGATCACTAAATTGATTGCCAATTGAATATGTTTACATTAAACTTTCTCAGAGTGGAAACTATTAGATGGCAGATTCTTGCATCTAGAAAGTGCTGAATATGTATTGCTGAAGTGTGTGTGTCTCATAATAGTAAAGTCTGGAGCTAGAGGCTATTTTCATATTGGAGCAAATTAATTCTTTTTTTTAAAGAATGATTTAATTTTATTTATCATTATATAGATATTTTAAAATTTGCAATGGGGCATGTGCACTCACTAGAAAGAGACACAGAGACACAGAGAGAGAGAAAATGAGAACGCAAATCACCAGGTTGGGACTCAAATTGCGGTTGGTCATGTGAGAAGCCAGTGCCTCAACCCTGAGGCCACCTGTTGGCCCCAATCTTGTTTTGAATGTACTGCTTTGTAAAGTCCTTAACGCGATCTACACAGATCTGCTAGTCCTGGCTCCAGCCTGTTAGCCCAGCTTCCTCTCATCGAGCTCTCGCTGCTCTCTGAATCTCAGATACACTGTTCTTCTTTTGGTCCCTTGCACTTGGCTCTGACCTTTGCACACACAACTCCCTCCGCTTTAGGAATGCTGTTCCCTTCTCTGGTGGCCTACACATCCTTGCATCTCAGCTCTCCCGAGTAATTCAAATATTCCTGTAAACTTAGTGTCTAGTCAGTGTCCTCGGTCTCCGCACAGTTTTAAATCTCTGTTTTGTGTCATTGAGAACCATCTACTGTGCTGTAAAGGTCCTGAGTGGAGGGTCCTCGCCTATTCTTACTTCCCATTGCGCCTAGCACAGCCTCTGAAACATTCTTAGGTAAAAAATAAACATTTTAAAATAAGTAAGTGGAGGGAAAACAAGTAGGTGTGACTTGTGAGGCCCGGTGTGGAGAACATCTTCCTACTGGAGAATTCTCCAGGCACTGGATAATACTCCAGGCTTCCTCGCAGAGCTTTGCCCTGAACTACTGCCCCAGTCCCAGGGCCCGAGCCAGGTTTCGGGCGGCGCCTGCGCCCAGGGCTCGCCGGATGTACGCACGGGCGTGGGGCGGGGTTCTGGTAACCCAGGCAACAGCCCGGAAGCCGCGGGCCCAGTTACTGTGTGGCGCGCTCCCCAGGGCTGGACCCTGAAGTTTTAGTGGTGTTTGGAGGCCCGGTCGGGAAACGGCAAGGCAGGTTGAGATGACGGGTGGGAGGCCTGCAGCTCGCAGCCCCCGCAGCTCTTGGGCATCGGGTACACGAGGGGCGGAAGGAGGCTGGCGGTGACTCTGGTCCCCCGGGACCCCACGGCCTGGCCCAGAATCCGGACTACAGAAAGCCAGCCGCGGCTCTGTGTGTTTGAGCGTGTGTGCGTGGCAGGGTGCGTGTCTGGGGGTGCCTGTGTTTTCCGCGCTTCCACGGAGAGCACCCGAGTGGGCGCGCGCACTGCTCTCAGGGGCTTTGTGCAGAAGTAGACCTGGGCGTGCGCGGTCGTAGCTTTCAGGAGCTGGAACTGTCTAGCAGGAGGGAGACAGACTACCCAGGGTGTGCAGGGACAGGGAAGGTCATTTAAATAGAGGGATGCCGTCTGAATGGGTTTTGGGGAGCGCAGGGACTCTGAAAAGACTTCTTGTTTCCCCTCGATCAGTTTCTAACACGAACTAGAATGGATTCGCCAAGTCTTACCCTTGTAACTTGTTCTGACTCTCTAAGCCTCATTTTCTCCATTTGGAAAGGGGCCAATAGTTGTTACTGACATCGTCGTCATCAGTAGTGCCAGGCAGAGCTTCTAAGTGTTATACACAAGTAACTAGTTCCGTTTTACAGTAAGTGGCAGAACTGGGATGTGAACCCAGACAGTCTGAGTCCAGGCTGCTCTTAGCCTCCATGTTGTATTTCTCAAGCCAGTACATGCCTCATAGGGTTGTGAGTTTACACGTGAAGTTCCTGCATAGTGTTTTATTAATAAGGCATTGATATTAACATCATTGAGAATATACTGTGCACACAATCTTGTATCCTCTTTTTACACTTAACTTTTTATTTTTCTGTGCAATTAATGCTCTTAATACCATTTTAGTAGATGATTATCATATAGACTTACTGACAGTATGATTCCTCTGTTTCTGCAGAGTACGTTGGCGCTCTAAGTGGTTAAAATACATTAGATTCCTTTCTTTGAACAACGATTATGTTCTTTTCCATATTTGTATTTATTTGTTAACTTCAGATTTTTGCCATAGATGAGAGACAGAGAGAAGGAAAGAGAGAAATCACCTCACAAGGGTAATGGCCATGCCACAATCCCTTCTCCAGTCTTCTCTGGGGATTTTGGCCATGTGTGCACATGTGCCATGCACCTGGTCAAGCCACCAGGTACAGGACTCCAGCCCTGGTTGGTCATGTGGGCGTCTGGCCCTTAACCACCAGGCCACCTGTTCACCCCTCCTTATCTTTTGTTTAAAATAGTTTTTATCTGTTTCTTTTTTCCATGAGAGAGAGAGAAACAGAGCCAGGTACCCCAGCAGAGTCTTCATGCTGAGATTCACTCCAGTCTTAGCCAACCTGGATCATAGTCACATGTACACATGCTCAGGGTGATCCCAGGATGCAAACTTAGGATTTTTCTCATACAGGTCCTTTTGTGTTAACACCATGCCGCCATCTGCCCCCTTCTCCATATCTTTTCTTATAATGGTTTTAGTGAGATATAATTTACACATTAGAAAATACACTTAAAAAAAAAAGTTCAGTTGGTTCTTCCATGAGAGATAGAGAGACAGCACCCCCAACAGGATCTTGGTGTGGTGATTAATTTCCAGTCCCGCTCAGCCAGGGATCATGAGTAGGCTCATGACCTGTGTACTCAGGGAGGGATCAGATGGAAATTTGGTATCCTCCCATGTTGATTATTTTCAGGGCATCATGTTTTATAACAGTGCCACAATCTGACCCCAAAATTCACCTTTAAAGTATACAATTCAGAGTTTTTTAATATATTTATAGAGGTGTGCAACTGTCATCACTGTGTAATTCCAAAACATTTTCATCATCCCCTGGATAGCCTCATACCCATTATAGCAGTCACTCTTCATTCCTTCTCCTTCCAGACATTGCAGCCATTAATATACTTCATGTCTTCATGGATTTGCCTATTCTGGACATATTATAAATGATCCCACACAATTATGTGGTCTTTTGTGTTTCTTTTTCTCTTAGTGTAATATGTTCAAGATTTATCCATGTTGTAGCAGGAGATATCAGTACTTTTTCTTGCCAAAGTCATTTTCTGTTGTGTGGATTTAGCACATTTTATTTATACATGTTAGGGATGTTTCTGCTTTTGTCTATTGAGAAGAATGCTACTGAGAACATTTGTATACAAGTTTTTATGTAGTCATATGTTTTTATTTCTTTTGGATATATAAGAGTAGAATTGCTGGATTATTATGATGGCTCTATGTTTAACTGTTTGAGGAACTGCCAAACTTCTTTCCAGAAGTGCCTATGCAATTTTACATTCCTATTAGCAGTATATAAGGATTCCAATTTCTTCATGTTTTCATCAATGCTTGCTGCCTATTTTTAAAATTACATCCATCTTAGTGGATATAAAGTATTATCTTATTGTGAATAAGATTGGCATTTCCCTAATGACTAATTATGTTGAACATCTTTTCATGTACTTATTGGCTGTCAATAGATTTGTTTTGAGAAACATCCATCTTTTTTTTTTTTTTTTGCTAGAGGCTGCCTATACACCAGAGTGTCAGATGGAAAGGAGAAAGCACCCATTCATGAGGAAGGGTCACACTGCAATCCCTTCTCCATCTCTCCCTTCTTTCAGGATTTAGGGCATGCACACACATGTGCCTGGTATGTTTCTCAAGCTGCCAGGTCTGGAACTCAAACTATGTAGTTGGCCATGTTGGATCCAGCTGCCTTAACCACCAGATCATGTAGCCAGCCCACCTATGCCCATTTTTAAATAGGGTTGTTTTTAGTATTGAGTTCTAAGAATTCTTTGTATAGTTTAGATACAAGTCTTTTATCAAATATATTACTTGCAAATATTTCCTCGCATTCTGTTGTCTTCTTGCCTCTTCTGTGAGATAATACATGTGCACATGCAAAACAGAAAAAATACTTGGCTTTGGTAAGCACTCAGTGTGTATGAAGAATCTTCAGAAGTTCATGGACAGGGACCAGCAGTTAGCATAATGGCTATGTTGCTGGACTCCCATGTAGTCGACCAAGGTTCACGTCCCAGACCTGGTGGCTTAAACTCATGCCAGGCGCGTGTGCGTGCTTGCCCAAGATCCCGAGAGGAGAATGGAGGAGAAGGGATTGCGGCGTGGCCATCCCCCCTTGGGGGGGGGTGATTTCTCGCTTTCTATCTCTCTGTCTCTCTCAGTCTGGCGAGCGCACATGCCCTATAGCAAAAACCTCTCCAAAAAAAAAAAGAAAAAGAAAATATACTCATAGTTTAATTCCGTTTTCCCACAACCTTTTTAAAACACCTCATAGTAGCTGATATCGTTACTATTGCTTCCACTATGATCATCATCACCATCATCATCATAAACCTTAAATTTATTCTTTAACTCATAAATGACTTATCACCTTTGTTGGACTGAGAATTTTGAAACTAAATACCATGTTTAAAGAGTAAATATTCTCATTGATGAGACAATGAGAAAGTACAAAGGAAATGAAGACTGGGGACAAACTCTTGAGAAACTCTTGGATGTAGGCGTCTTCACTGCAGTAGATAATGATTTTATTTCAAATGTACTTAAGGAAAATTCAGTGGTTGCCCCTTCCCTGCAGTTTTATTTTCTGTGGTTTCAGTTATCTGCAGTTGAATGTGGTCCAAAAATAGCTGGGTACAGCACAGTAAGATATTTTGAGAGAGTGAATGTACCCACATGACGTCTATTAGAGTTTGTTGTTATTTAATTGTTCTATTTTATTGTTATGGTTAATCTCTTACTGTGCCTAATTTATAAATTAAACTTTATCATAGGAAAGAGCATAATATAAATAGGTTTGGTACAATTCACAATTGCAGGGATCCACTGGGAGTCTTGGAACATATCTCCCCGGATGCGGGGAGGGTAAAACTCTACTAAAACCTTTGGCTTTTTTTTTTTTTTTTTTTAGTTTTGCTATAGGGCCTGTGTGTGTTTCAGGGAGAGACAGACAGACAGAGAAAGAAAGTGAAAAGTCATCTCCAGGGGATGGCATACCACAGTCCTTTCTCCTCCATTCTCCTTGGGATTTTGGGTACGCATGCACACCTGCCAAGAGTGTTTTTTCAAACTTCCAGTCTGGGACTCGAACAGCGCAGTCAGCCATGTGGGATCCAGCCACCTTAACCATCATCTCATCAGGTAGCCCTAGAATCTTTGTTTTAGGCTAATTGGAATTAACAGAGTTCTATAATTATTTAGGTAGCTAACGAGGTTCTCGAATAGAAATATGTTGCTTTTAAAAATTCACATATATGTATTATAAAATCCTAGTGTTCAGGGGCTGGATCTTTTTCTAATTTTGTATAATGTTTAGGCCAATGTTCTTAGCATTGCTATTTTAGGAGTGCCAAGTCAATGTTGACGGTTTACAAAACAATTTACAAATTCTTGTGTAAAAGCAATGATTACTTCTATTAGGTCTTTGGGAAAGTCATGACATATTTTTCTATGCAAAAATGCATCATGATTTTCCCGATGAGCCAATATTTAGTATTATATGAAAGATACACTAGAAGTGGTATCATATCTCATTTGTTCTCTAAAGTTTATCTACTTCTAAGGTAAGCACAAATGCAGGGACTTCAAAAAGATTATGGGAAAATGGAATTAAAGTACAAGTTTATCCTGGTGCACAAAAATTTGGAATCTCTGCATCGTTATTTTGTAATACACATTTTCCATGAACTGTTGGAGGACCCCTTGTGGTTACCCCGTGGTGATTTTGAGTGTTGGAGTGCTTAGGAAAGACTCCAACTCTCATTTGCCCTTCCCTCCCTTTCTGTTGCATTTATATTGTTAGAATGTGTGACTGACATTTTCTCTACCGATTGGAAATTTGTGTAACTGATGACAAAGCTTATGACTTCAGTCCTAGTTCTGTGCTTTAGGCCATAGTTTCTGCATTCCTAGAGTTCTTTATAAATGGATACTTTTAAGTTATTAGTATGAGACCTCTTTTATTGTAGTTATCAGTACCAACTTTGTTTTAATTAGAAACGAGAGCCCAATATTTTGATAAGCTGTTTCTTTCATCATACTTAATTTTTTTCTTTTGATATTTTAAGATTTATTTGGTCTTTCCTAGATGTCTTTCTCCTAGGGTGATGCTTAATTGTTACTTTTTCTTGTATTTAAAAAATTTGTTCTGATTGTTACTCCTAGATGTCATTTGTCAGAGTGAACCGTTACGGTCCCCGAGGAGGTGGAAGAAAAACACTGAAAGTAAAGAAGAAGAAAACTCCAGTGAAACAAGAATGGGATGTAAGTCTAGGTGGAATCGTGAATGCCATACCATTACTGTGGAGGAACAGACATGATGACATGGCCCTAGTCAGTCAGGATGGTGTTCTGAATGGGGCTCAGCATGTAATAGGTGGAATCAGTTTTAGGGTGTGTTATGTCCTAGATTTTCGAGGGAAGAGCTGAATCTTTGGGGGAAATTTTTAGAATATATACATCCAGGCTGTAATGTCTAGCTCCTTTGAATAACTGGAATATTCGAGGTGTTGAAAGTGTGTCTTTTAGAAAAAGTCTTTTAAGGGAGGAAGCAGGTGGCATGGTGGTTAAGGTGTTGGATTTGTCCATGGCTGACTGGTTTGATTCCCTGACTGGCGACTTGAAAATCATGCCGGGCATGTGTGTATGCCTGCCCAGAATCCTAGGAAGAGAATGGAGGAGAAGGAATTGCTACATAACCATCCCTCCAGGGAGGTGATTTCTCACTATCTCTTCTCTTTCTATCTGTCTCTTTGGTGACTGCGTGCACCCTATGGCAAAAAACTAATTAATTAATAAATAAATAAATAAATAAATCTCCTAACCTCTACCTTGATAAGTCGCATTAAGGCAACTCTGATTAAACTGTGTCACTGAAATCTGAATTATTTTGGTGCCTTTTTTAGATTTGCCCATAGCAACTAGTGTCAGCGCCATTTTTGAGTCGCCATTTTTGAGTAAAAAAAATAGATTATCCTTGTTATCTTACACCTTGAGTTGTTTGTTATTTACCGCCAGAGGCTGATTAATTGCAGTACAAAAATTCTCTTAAGATTAGGACAGGTCTTACGTACCTGGGGCATAGATGTCTGACTTCTAACCTGAATATGGTCTGGTATTACTAAAGGTACTTACGTATTTTGCATCCAGGTACTTTGGTTTGGCCCATGAGACTTTAGGTGCTTTTACTTTCCATTGTCAGGATTAACTAGTCAGGGACTAGCTTGGATCTTAGGGATTCTTTTCAACTTGGAACCTGCTGGATTATGGCCAGCCACCCTAGCCAGAAATCCTGGGCAAACGGATTGTTTTGTTGCTGTCTGATTGTCTAAAAATATTACACAGGTGTGAATCTAACGTAATGAAATTGATTAATGGGAAACAAAGTATGTGATAATGTAAGTACTGTCATTTTTAGAGTGCCTACTTGTAGCAGTTGATGTTTATTCTGCTTTGCTGATGTTGCTCGAGTCTTCTTTGAAACCTTTCATTTGAAATTGCATTAGGGGGAACCAGCAGTTAGCATAATGGCTATGTTGCTGGACTCCCACGTAGTTGACCACGGTTCGCATCCCGGACCTGGCGGCTTAAAACTCACGCCGGGCACGTGTGTGTGTGTGCGTGCGTGCCCAAGATCCCGAGAGGAGAATGGAGGAGAAGGGATTGTGGCATGACCATCCCCCCTGGGGGGGCAATTTCTTGCTTTCTGTCTCTCTGTCTTTCTCTGTCTGTCTGGCGAGTGCACATGCCCTATAGTGAAAACATCTCAAAAAAAAAAAAAAAAGAAATTGCATTAGGAACCTTCCTCATTTACTTTTTATTATCTCTAGTACTGGAAAACTTTTTGCTTTTTGAAGGTAGACAGACTTGGAAAATAGGTGTAAGTCATTTGCATTAAAGGTAAACGAGGGAGGAGAAACCACTCAATACAGTAAAACTGTTTTTTTTTTTTTGGAGAGGTTTTTCACTATAGGGCGCATGCGCTCGCCAGACAGACAGAGAGAGACATAGAGACAGAAAGCGAGAAATCACCCCCCAGGGGGGATGGTCACGCCGCAATCCCTTCTCCTCCATTCTCCTCTTGGGATTTTGGGCATGCACGCACACGCACCCGGCGTGAGTTTTAAGCCACCGGGTCCGGGATGCGAACCGCGGTCGACTACGTGGGAGTCCAGCGACATAGCCATTACGCTAACTGCTGGTTCCCAACAGTAAAACTGTTTTGATGAAAATAGTGGGACAGTCTCTGCAATGGCTTATAAATGAAGTTTAAAGACATTTCAAAAGGAAATTGTTTTAAGCAGTAGTAGTACTGATGAAGTTATTACATTCACTCTCATGAGAACCAATTCAATCACTTATTTTTGTGGTTAAATTGTATTATGATTATTAATAACAATTCTTATGATCTTATAGTTGTAATTGGTACCTTTCTAAATTAATGTGAAAGGAATAATAGTTTTTGTGTAGAAAAACGTTGAGCTAAATATAAATCATGGCCAAAATTTTAATTGCCAGAGAATGTGTGCACTTGCCTGAGAGAGAGAGAGAGAGAGAGAGAGAGAGGGAGAGGGAGAGGGAGAAGAAGAAGAGGAGGAGGGGGAGGAGGTGAAGGAGGAGGAAGAGGAAGAGAAGAGGGAGAAGAGGGAGACGGAGACGGAGACGGAGAAGGAGAAGGAGAAGGAGAAGAAGAAAGCACCCTCCAATGGAGCATGTTCACATTGCAGTTCCTTCTCCATTTCTCTATCCTGTTGGGATTTTGGGTACTCAGTGTGCCTGGCATATTTTTTAAGCTACTGAGTCTGGGATTTGAATCTCAGTCAACCACATGGGAACTGGCTCCCTTAACCACTAGGCATGGGACAGAATCAAGTGTTTAGTCTTTGACTAGATTAGAGGCCATTTGACTTAGTTGTGTTTGTATTTCTCATCACTTGACTCGTTTTATTTTCTGCCTTACAGTCTTTGTAGGAGAATGGCTGAAGCCATTTTGGAAAACTGTAGTACTGCCATTCGACTGCTGTCAGAGTGGTGACTGCACCACACATTCCCAAGGTGCTATTTACAGGGACTGGGCTATTACTGGTGTCTCCTGGAACTGCACAGCGTGGTAGCTCCGCCGTGACGGCTTAGTGCCTCTTAACTGAAGTGACTGTTTTCACATTTCATGGAATTATACATTGCCGTCAGAGTTCATCTTTTATTGTAATAGGTTCTACATAAGGTGTTTGTGAATACAGTTTGAACCTCTTTGTAGTGATCATACTTCTTTTCTGAATCTTTAGAGTTGCCTCGTGGAATCCTGGAATTTCAGGCAATACGGTTTGAAAACTCTAACCTTAGTTAAACCAACTCTGAATATGTATTTCCCTCTTTTATTCATTATTTTCATATAATATATGCCTGCTTGGTGAACTCACTGCTTATTTTCTGAAAGACACCTCAATATTGGCCATTATTTTCTACAAGACACCTAAAATTAATGTGTTAATATTTAAATTGAGAATGTTGGTTTCTGAAAGGAAAGGATTTTTGGTCCCAGGATTTTGAAATCTTTCTCAGCCATTAAGTGCCAGTAAATGCTGACATTTTACTTTAAAAAACAAAAAACAAAACAAAACTTTGCTTTACCCCTAAAAAAAGGTCATCTTTTTTTTCTTTTTTGGCAGAATACTGTGAATGATCTAACAGTTCATCGGGCAACTCCTGAAGATCTGGTAAGTTGAATATCAAAAGTTAAATAATTTATTCAGTCTTTTATTTGGTATTTGATTGCTAACTATTGATAATAGAAACTAGAGGGACTTCCCGGATGTTGTTCAGATATGCTTGATCTTGTTTATGTCTATATAAGATCAAAAAGCATATCTTCTAGGGTCAGGTCTGAAGCCTAGTGGTTAGAGCAGTCGGCTCCCATTAGGCAGATCACATGGTTCAGATCGTAGACTGGTGGCCTGAGAAACATGCTGATTGTAGACTGGTGGCTTAAGAAATGTGTGTGCATGCAAACCCAAAGTCCTGACAGGAGGGAGAGATGAGGAGAAGGGATTGCAGCATGACAGTGCTCCATCGAGGGTGGTTTTCTCTCTCCTCTTCCTTTCTTTCTTTCTTTCTTTCTCTTTCTCTGCTTCTCTTTGGTGAGTACACATATACTTCAGCCACAAAAAAAAAAAAAAAAGGAAGCAGATGTTTTTAGACTTCCTGATTTTACCTCAAATATTAGTATGTGTGAGAATTTAATTTAATTATATAGAATTTAATGATATAGTTTCCCGGCCCGAGGGGACAGCCAAACAGATTTCCTGAGTGAAGGAGTGAGCCGGGACAAGCGGTGTAGTGTTACAGCACGTGGGTACGGCAGAGAGACGACGCATTGTCACAGCTCTTAAGGGTCGCGTCGTCTACCGTGAGCAGCACGGAGACGACGTGGTGTCACAGCTCTTCAGGGTTGTCCAGAGACGATGTAGTGTTACAGCTCTTCAAGGTCTCCCAGGTCGTCTGGAGACTGTGCGGTGTTTCAGCTCTTCGGGCTCTTCAGTCGTCGTCTTCCTGGTTGTTGTCGTCTTCCTGGTTCTCTGTCTATTATGGGCCAGAGATCGTGCTTATATACACATTGGTGGGCTGTGATTGGTTGAATGAAGGATAGCAAAAGATAGGTTATGATTGGGTGCTTTGTGGACCAATCATGAGGTACCCGGATATGCAAATATGAGGGATTCTAAGCTCACCGATTTGCTATGTGAAGTGGCCAATCAGAGTGGTGTTGAAGGTGAGGTTTTTTGAAGGGGAGCCAATTGTGGCCTTTGTAATTGTTTGCTCTCTGAGCCTAAGGTGGCAATAGTAAGAGACTCATGGAAAATGGCCTCAGCAGACTCGCTGGTGCACAGCCTCCCACAATATAGTTTGAGTTTACAGTTCTAACCATTAGCCTGAGATAGTTGTCCCTTGGTATCAATAGGAAATTATTTTCAGGACTCTCCTGTAGATAACAAATCTATAGATACTCAAGTCTCTTATATAAAATGGTGTAATGTTTGCATATAACCTTTACAGTTCTCCTATATACTTTAAATCATCTCTAGATTACTTATAATAATGCAATATAAATGCTATGTAAATAGTTGTTATACTGTATTGTTTAGGGAATAATGACAAAAGTCTGTATATATTCAGTACACATGCAATTATTATTTTTTTCAGGTAGTTTCTTTTTAGATTTTTGTCATAGGGCAGGTATGCTCACAGGAGAGAGACAGAGAGAGAAAGGAAGTGAGGAATTACCTCCCAGGGAGGATGGCCATGTTGTAGTCCCTTCTTTCTATTCTCTTTGCACATAGATGTACATGGTTTTCAAGCTGCTGGTCTGGGACTTGAACCATGAAGTTGTCCATGTAGGATTAAGTGCCTTAACTACCATGCCACTTTTTGGCCCTCAGGTAGTTTTGATCCATGATTGGTTGAATCCACAAATGTGGAACCCGCAGAGATGGAGGGCCAACTGCATTATTTTATACACATTTGTCTGTCTTTTGCTATCTATAGAAATCTTCAGCATTATTTCTTATTATTTCCCTATACAGAAATGTTGGTCTAGTCAATGTAGTAATTTATCCCTTGAACATATTCAGATCTAAATTCATGCCATTTTCCCTATTGGCGCAGTTTCCCTACCTTCTGGTCTACCTGTCCAGATGTTACTTTGCTTCCTTTTCCTTCTTTTTAAGTTTCTGGTGTAGATTTTTTTAGAAATAGCTTTATTGAGATAAAATTCACATACCATGAAAGTTACCTTCTTAAAGTATTCAGTTGAGTAGTTTTTAGTATATTCATAGAGTTGGGCAACCATCATTACTAATTTTAGAATATGTTACCAAAAGAAGCTCTACTGATTGACAGTCATTGCTTAGGCCCACCTCCTCCCAGTCTGTGGCAATGACTAAGGTACTTTATGCCTCTATGCCTTGACCTGTTCTGAACACTTCATATCAATGGAATACCATATGTAGCTTTTTGTGTCTTGCTTTTTTTTCTTATTATAATGTTTTCAAGGTTCATCTGTATTGTGGTTATATCAGTACTTTATTCCTTATTATTGCTGAATAATATCTCATTGTTTAGATATACCATATTTTATTTATTTGTCTGTTGGTGGACATTTGTTTACACGTTTTTACTATTGTGAATAATACTGCTGCGTACATTCATGTACAAATTTTTATGCGAACACATGTTTTCAGTTCTTTTGTGTATATACCCAGGAGTAGGATTGCTAGCTCATATGGTATCTCCATATTTCACTTTCTGGATAACAGCCAAACTGTTTTTCTAAAGTGGGTGCATCATTTACATTCCCCCCAGCATGTATGAGACTTCTAATTTCCCCACATCATTGTTATTGTCACCTTTTTTATTTTGGTTCTAGTGGGTGTAAAATGCTGTCTCACTGTGGTTTTGATTTGCAGTTCCCTAAGCACAAATGATGTTGAGTATTTTTTTCTTGTGCATATTGGCCATTTGTAATGTCTTTGGAGAAACGTCTGTTCAAATCACTAAGTCACTTTTAGGCCCAGCCACAGCGATGCATGCTGCTAAGATGCTGTGCTCTGTAGGCTGAGTCCAGGTTCCACTCCCAGTCCAACCGAAAGGCTGGCCACAGTGGTGTGTGCCTATAATCCAGTGATCCCAGTGACTTGAGAGCTTGAAGTGGGGGGCAGTGAGTTTCAGCTGGCCTATACAACACAGGAAGATCCTGTCTAAAAAAGAGCCAGGTGGGACCAGCAGTTCGTGTAATGGCTATGGTCGCTGGACTCCCATGTAGTCGACTGCGGTTCAAGTCCTGGACCCGGTGGCTTAAACTCACGCCAGGGGTGTGTGTGTGTGTGTGTGTGTGTGTGTGTGTGCGCGTGCCCAAGATCCTGAGAGGAGAAAGGAGGAGAAGGGATTGTGGCATGGCCATCACCCCTGGGGGGTGATTTCTCGCTTTCTGTCTCTCTGTCTCTCTCTGTCTTTCTGGCAAGCGCATACACCCTATAGCAAAAACCTCTCCAACAAAAAAGAGCCAGGTGTGGAGGTATGTTCCTGTTGTCCCAGCTGGATGGCTGAGGGTAGGGGATTGCAATGTGATAAGACTGTGTTTTAAAGAAAAAAAAATCCTTAGTCATTTAAAAATTGGGTCATTTGTGGTTTTATTGTTGAATTGTTAAATTTCTTTATTTTCTGTAAATTAAGTTCCTTATCAGAAGTATGATTTGTAAATATTTTCTCCCACTCTTTTAGTTACCCTAAGTATCAGTGTGTGGTTTGAAAAACACTAGTTTATGAGGTAATTTTGCAAAAAGGAAGTAAAAAATTAATACTATTTTAAATATGCTTTTTAGGTAGGTCTATTAATTCTAGATACTTATTATTTTAAATTGTTTTTGAAAATTTAGAGAATTGTGAGAATTTTGGCATGCACACACACAGACACACACACAGTGAGAGAGAGAGAGAGAGAGAGAAATGCATATTATTGGTGAGTAAATATTTGAAAATAGTGAACTAGACTAGACTAGACTAAGTGGTCTTGATACCTGAATAGGCAATGTCCTTGCTCCTGAAACATTCCTTTTTTCCTTCTGTGCAGATACGTCGTCATGAAATACACAAATCAAAAAATAGAGCATTAGTACACTGGGAACTCCAAGAAAAAGCTCTGAAGAGAAAATGGAGGAAGCAGAAGCCAGAAACTGTGAATCTTGAGAAAAGAAGATTGTCTATCATGAAAGAGGTAATGCTAAGCTGTATTATCTTTAGAGTTAGAAGAGAAAAGAGAAATAGGTTTTTTTTTTTTTTTTCCCTCAGTTTAATTCACATTGGAGAGACTCTAATATTTACTGTGTCTTTATACGGTGACTCTCATGTGACCTGAAAAAAGCACCAGAGTGATGATTAGAATCTTATCTGGTAGTT